GATAGCAGTTTTAAATGCAAGTGCAAAAAAAAAATAAAAAATCAAGAAGTTTTTGGTTGATGTTAAAATAAACTGAACAGAAAGAGAATAAATCAGTATTAATCAAACAGACCAAAGTAAAATTTACTAATTCCAATCTCTGGGCATCTTGTTGGTGTGTCTGTATTTTTTTGCTGCGTTAGGTTTTTGTAAAGGCAACATGGAGGGACTTTCTCAGTGGACGAGGAACCCATGAGAATCAAGTAGAAATACAAAATGAAAATGGTCAGCCACTTTACAGTTATTTTTATTGGTTTTAAGTCAGACATGATTTACAGAGGAAAAAAAGGGAAGAGAATCAGCTGTACAAACAAAACAGGGTGTCAAAAGAACAACGTTTTTTTTTTTTATTGTTTATGAAACGCAATCAGTAATTTATTTCCTCCTCAGCAGCATGAAGTTAAGTTTACCTTTGTTGCGGCCCTGTCTCTGTGCACTGTTTAGAAAGATTTCTTAACACATATTTCACAACTATGCCGCGATCTTATCTCTTTGCAGAATATTTTCCCCGCTGTTGAAATGAACCTTTTGGAGAATGTGGCATGTGAACCAATGATGGCTTTTTGATCAACTTCATAAACCTAAAAGCCCCCAGCTAAAAGATCATATCTGTTCATTTTGCACTGAAGTTTCATCAGCTCAGATAAATGAAGTCCACCAAAGTGTCCCCTACAGTCCTCACTGGAATGTTGATCAGACAGCAGTCTCCTAAGGAGTCAAACTGAAGCTGTGTGCATTAAAAATCTGTTCATATGGCATAAATTTATAAGCACCATGAAGAGAAAGAAGAAATAATTTATTATTGATCAAAACCACTTTAATTTCTAATGGGTTCAGATGGTAAACTGTGTCCTCCCATCTGATTGAATCAGGCATTAGTAGTTGAAACAGTGATTATCGTTTTTCTTCAATAACTTTTATCTCAAATCTTGTTTTGGAGTCTAACTGAAGAATTTAAGAAAGCCATAACAATGCCCTTTTTGTCAAGAAATGTATTTGAATTAAAAAGACTAAAATACATTAATTGTGTCAGATTAAACACCATTATTAATGCTTTTTCAGAGCTGTGTTATGAATAAAACTGTTAAGAATTTCTCTGCTGCTTCTGTAAGAGAAACAGAAATTGATCGTGTGATAAATGTGTGCGGCTAAGCTAACCCAGAATGATGCAGTCAGTTGGCAGGGCTCAGGCCGTCTGCCCCTGTAAGAGCGGTCCCTTCTATTGCCTCTAATGCAGCCTGTAATCATCGGGTACACTTTCACACGCGACCGCAACTGCAAACATGACTGTTGATTTACTTCTCTTTTTGTATCTCTTTTTTTATGCAGGAAGAAAAGCGGCATTATGTCGTTTAATCTGTGTCCTAGTTTAACTTTTCCATAAACGTGAGTTATCCTCCTTGTTGTTCTTTCTACAAGTTGAGATGTTTTCAATCATTAAACTTTAAAGTTTCCAACATCCGAAGGACTGATATGAGGGGTTGAAATTAACTGAGGTTAAAACTTTCCTTTCTGGTCTCTGTGCTGACCCACTTTGTTTCCTTTAGTTCCTGTTTAGTTTTGTGTTTCACCTCATTTCATCCCCTGAGAGCTATAAAACAGTGTATTATGTCAATTTTTAAAAGGCCTCTTCATGGATGTCTTGCAGAATTTTCCTTTCTGAAGCTCGTTATCTGTGTCTGTGGTCTCTGTAGTGAGGGTGTGTCTCCAAAACCAATAAACAATCTGTTTTAATGGGATTCCTGAAACTAATGTTTGGCTCATAATTCTTATTATTGATGTCCTTAATACCGTAGCTTTTTCATAAGCATAGATTTTGTTTCGGTGAATTTAGTGATCTCAAATACATACTTTTCCTCCTGTATTTTAAAGTTCCTAACGTCTCACTTTATAAACTGTCTGTCTTAAGAAGTCTCTAGGCAAATGTCTGCATGGGCTTTGCTGCTCTTGGCTGTTAAGGAGAACCAAAAGGGATATCTAATAAAAACATGCTAAACATCTAATTAGAAGTCCTGCTTTAAGCATCGCTCCAATTTTAGAGTGCAGGTTCTTTTTGAACTCCCCATGTTACTTCCTCTCCTTCCCCGGGGCAGAGAGGAAGTAGGAGCAGATGTGTTACGGTAACGGACACAGGGACAACACTGCTGGTCTTTAGTTCCCTCTGCTTTAACACAAACCACCTAGGATGTGCTATACATCTTAATGAACTGCTGACACGCCATCTCAGAACCAGCCAAGTTTTTTTTCTCTCCGAACAATCACAAGAAGTGTGTATGTGTGTGTGTGCGTGTGTATGTGTATATATATATATATATATATATATACGAATACAAGAGTAATCAAATGATGTTGCATGTTTAGAACTAGTATTAAAAGTGCAGTTTCATGCATTAACAAATTATTTCAAGTACAGCCTTGGTAACAAACATGTTTTCCAGGTAACATGGCAAGAAAGTCCCCCTGAACTCAGAATACTGAACACTGAAGTTCGGGTTTATCACTAATCTCTAACCTTAAAATCCATCCATCCATCATTCCATCCATTTTCTGTCATTCTTATCTCTACTGGGGTCTCTCTACTGGAACATGCTGCTTTGGGTTTAACAGCACAATATGCAGGAATAAACATCAGTTTGATTTGGTACTGATGTTAATCAATTAAATTAAATTAATCTTTCTTTCTTATTTTTTTATTTTGTTTTTAATCTAAAACCAGATCTAAGCTCTATTTTCAGGAACGCAACATGAGTAACTTTTGTAATCATTCACTGTAGTACATTTTGGGAGTTATAGCATTTTTATTTCCATGCCTCTATGCATTTATTATTTTTGAAGGTGATGTTGGTTTGTGTTTAGCTAGACTTAAATTAAAACTCATATTTGTTGCTTGAAAATAATTCTTACTAGAGGTCCCTTTGATTACAAGGAAAGGCAGCTAAGGATTCACAGCTGCTATTTGCAACAGTTTAAAAACAATGGATAAGTTTATTGAAAATGCATTAATAAATCTCTGACGAAGACTTTTAAAACATTACCCACAAATCACAAAAAAACCATAACCAACTGAAAATTTTTGGTTTATCTTTTATTTTTTCCCACTTGTTCAGAGTACTGTTCTCTCCAATTAATGTGGCTTTCTTTGTTATGTAACCAACATAGTTTAACTCCATGAAGCAATAACACCGACCTCTAGTGGCGTCTTTTCATCATTACACCAGTCTTCTAAATCTAGGCCATGTTTTGAATTTGTGAGTTCATTCCCCCCTCAGGCTTGTTATCAGCAACTGCAGTAAAAGGCTTTCTTGCTTGAAACTAGCTGTGATTGGCCAAGTCACTGGTTAGTTTCAGTCAGTACTAAACTGACCTATCAGGAGCCCAGTGATCAGTGAACGCATTGAGAGCGCATACTAACAGCAGGATTGCTGAGGGTTTTGTTTCCTCGGTCAGTCAGAGAACAGAAATGTACAACATTTTGTCAGCTACTGAAATAAGTGGATCAAGCTGATCAGTAAATGTTCTGTTAGACTGCATAACTGTTCCTGTAAATAAGTGTTTTTATCAAAATACCTGCAGCATTGTGCTGGAAAATAGATCTTCGTTGTTTAAATCAGCGTCTTTGTCCAGAAATAGTTTCCCTATTGATGGAGAACTGGTTGTAATTGATGTTAGAGATGTCTCTTGTAATTGAAAGGGACTGAACAAATTAGGGAGGGAGCGGGGAAGATGTGTGAGAGAGAGGGAGGGAGAGAGAGAGAGAGAGAGGGAGAGAGGGAGATGCTATAAAACTGACTCTGGACTCCAATCAGTTCAGTCAGAAACAGCTGTGCAGGAAGATCATTGCCTCTGCAAAAGACAAACACGACAAGCGTTCATTTATTTTCCTGGAAAGCAGATTTTTAAATCAGATTATCCAGGATGACGACTATGTTCCGATATTCTGTCTTTCCTCATCTGCAGGGTGAGTTGTTTCTCTCAGTGCTACTGTACAGTTTGTACACTTTGTTTTAGTTGTGTTTATTAGAGGATTTCTTCAATCTTGTAATCTTATAATATTTGTTTTATGGGAGGAAACATTACTTTTGGCTCCAGTTATATTTCTTCAAGTATATTTAAGCTGTCTGGATTTAGTTGGATAGACTTGTAAACAGAAGCTACAATAAAAAGTTAGATTTTGTGACGTTAAACAAACTCTGATAAGGTTAACAATCTACCTCGCAGTAAATGTTTAACCCTGCTCTGTTATATCATGTCTTATGATAGCTGGACAATAGGTGTTTTCATAAAAGCTTAACTGTGTAGGTTATTTTTAAATTTGCATATCTAACTCTCACCTGAAGGAGAAAAAAACATTTGTCTCCCTTTAGAAAACTGTTTATTGGCCAAACATGTGGCATTGGTGTCCATGAGGAAAATGTGTAGCTTTTGTTTTGTTTAGCCTCTGGGCCAAAAGTCAATAAGCAGTGTTTTAAATTAAAGCTTGCATTGAAATATAAGCATCTGGTTTTGTGTTGTCTGGGTTAATCTGTTGCATTGCAGATGTTTCTTTTACCACATATCAGAAAAATAAAATGTTCCACTCTGTTTGGAACAATTATGTAACATCAGTTTGGAGTCTCCTGATGAAATTCAGAAACTTTTGTCAGAGTTTTAGGGAGATTCTTCCATTAGGATTTGAAGAGTGTGTTTACATAAAGGTGTTTTATTTTATGGACTCATATTTCTGTATCCATTGTCTAGAGGTAATGGCTGTTTTTGATGGGGGGATGTAGGCGGCTGGTTTGAGAGAGCAGCACTGTTGATTGCTCATATATTCATTTGCATAAATCAGAGTTATGCTGCACTGAATACAAATTTTTAAGAGTGAGACTAAAGATTGATGAGCTTTAAAAATGCCTGGTTGTTTTGCCAAAACTACCTAATAATTATTTACCAGATTGACTTATTTCCATCTTTTTCTGCAGATCCGTGTAATTCTAGGAGGAGTGTCATGGCAGAACCGGACTACCTGGACGGAGACTGTGAGGAGCTCATCAAGCCCAAAAAGCTGATCAATCCAGTAAAAAGCTCCCGGAACCATCAGGACCTACACAGAGAGCTTATTATGAACCAGAAAAGGTCAGAAGATGTGGAAAAAAACAAAACACTTTCAGTCCCTCCAACTTATAAATGCAGAGTGCTTAAAGAGATTGATTTGTTTTTATTTCTGGAGCAGCAGGACTTTCTAGATAATTGTTGGTGATTCTGTAACAATCACAATCTAGTAAGAAAAAAGGAAAATCAACATTATACTGCCCAAATCCACACTAACCCGGTTTCATCTTTACTAACAGGACGGGTAGACCCAGTTATCATCCCTGCTGGTGTCCTGATTGTCTGTACAGACTGTACTGATGCGCGTCACTTAGGCTGACATCACTGATTTAACCTCCAGCAGTATCATCACTTAGCTTAATGTATGAAACATTTTAATATGAAATGTTGCCTTAAAATGTACTGGAGTGTCTCAAAAAAAAAAAAGTATGCGTAAATCCCACACAAATGTAAATGTGACTCATTTTCTGGTGTTCTTAAAAAAATAAAAAAAATCCTGCAGCTTTAAGAGAGAATGAGTCCATCTGTGGGAACATGAAGGCACATGTTCTAGCGTCTGTGATCATCCTTTCAGGACTGAATGTTTGTGTTTTCTCTCACCGTGCAGCAGTGGCCACTTTGTGTCTGAGCTATAAATAGCACTGTAAATACTCAGGATGTTGACAGCTGTTCCATGACAGCATCCATCCTCCGTCTTTAAACGGGTTAAAGACCTGCATCCCTTATAAAAATGAAATTAGAGAGACATTAAAGAAAAGGAAATTAAGATTTTATATCCTGCAGAGTGTTATCTCTAGGTGGATTTTGGAGATGAATTTGTTTTGTTTTCTTATGCTTATTAATGTGAATACATTTTGCTTGCACAGAGGCTTAGTCATAGTGGTGATGGTGCGGAGGAGATGCTAGAAGGGAGGGAGGGGGGGTAGATGGAGACATGGATGAGTAGATGGATTAAAAAAAAAAGAAAAAAAAAACATGTTATGTAATCAAGATTACAAAACAGTCTTCAGCTGAGAGCCTTTCTCTGCCTCTGCTACCTTGGCGACAGTGACCCTTCCCACACACTGATGTGGAAGAATTTCAGAAATTCAAACTCATCCCTTTTTTTTTTTTTTTTTAAGATGTGCACTTTGTAGGGGAGGTGTTTCATAGGGCCACAGATTATGTAAACACAGAACACCATCCAGTTTATGGGGGGGGGGGGCTTTACAGCCTCATCTCCCTTTATGTACTGGATACCTTAATGCTGCACAGTATGTTGCAGTCTTCTCTAATTCAGTGATGCTAAGTGCTTTCATAAGGCATTAAAAAAAGTGACGCCTTGTATAAGAAACTCCCGCTGCATCTTGGAACATTCTGAGCTTGATTATGCAATCTGCAGGATTTAATCGTGCATTTAATTAAGATGCTGCTGGCGCTGAACTGTGGGCAGGTAGAAACACTGTCATGCTGATCATTTTAGGAGGGAGCAAGCAGCCAATAAGAAATTGGATAATTTGAATCTGAAGTGGACAGCTTATCAAACACAGCCTGTCTTGGGATTTGTGTTTAGTATTTCTCTCTTATTGTTTTTAACAGTCGTGACTCTCCTCCTCTGCCTTTTCATTTAATTTAGAGGAGTTTTGTAGATTACATAACTTTCCTCCTCACATTCTACTAGCATGACTCCCTCTTTCTTAACCGTGCGCCAACCACTCTGCTTTCCTTAGACTCATGTGAGAAATGTGTCCCAGGATAGTTTAAAATATTCAAGCAGCCAACAGCAGTACTTTGCAGTTCTATTTATATCCATTAAATTTCTAAATATTTTGTTAGGTTGCAGCCTAGAAGTGTTGTGTCCAACTTATGGTGCAAAGTTTTGATGTGGAAAATAAATTATGCATATTTATTTATTTTTTTACAAAATAGGAATATAAAAAATTGTGTGCATGAGTTTCCCTGTCCCTGCTAAGGTGGAGAATATATCTGCATAGATCTTTCTGCATGTAGAATAGTAATGTTCATTTTTGGCAAATACTTCATCCACTTTGTAAATTTGCAGTGCTGATGGAGAATCACCTTTGAGGTTTTAGAATAGAAGAATCAACTTTTCAATGCAATTTTAAGTCTTTATTCAGAGGAGTACATGTCAGACTTTTTACAGTTTGAAATTCTGTCTTAGTCCATATTTCAGTAGGATTTTAACATTGGCACCATCTCCAATTGGCTTAAAATAAAAACTTTTTATTTTACTTGATTGACATGTAATCCTGTTCATGTAACACAGACTTTACCAACTAGAATGAGGTCATGGTGCTCATCTGTTCTGAATAAATCCTAGGAAATCGTCCACTAAATGCACTCCGGAAATCCCATGAGCTTTTAGTAGCAAAGATTTGTTCAAGCTTGGTTCTGGTGACGTGTTTTCTCATCGTTTTTCTTTTTTCTTCCTCTCTGCTGTAAAGGGGTCTTGCTCCTCAGAACAAACCAGAGCTCCAGAAAGTTCTAGAAAACAGAAAGAGGGAGCAAGTTATCAAGGCCCAGAAGGAGGAGCAGGAGGCTCATAAGAAACTTAGTGACCTGGAAATAGAGCTTATGAAAAGACAACAGAAGCTGGAGCAGGTAACCCTTTGATCTTTTTTTTTTTTTTTTTTTTTTTTTTTTTTGATCACAGTTTTAAGTGCACTGAATGCCGTTTTCTGGCTGTTACCAATCTTTAAATAGAGCAGCAGAAAATGCAAGAGGAACAGGAAAACACCCCCGAGTTTGTGAAGATGAAGGGTAACCTGCGCCGGACCAAGCAGGAAGCGGATGGGGA